CAGGTGTCTTGTTCAGATGCAGCCACTGTACCCATTAAAGTGAATGACATTTGTCAGCGGCAGTCCGCATGTAATTGTACAATTGTACATGGATTGATTACATGTGGTTTGGGATAGATGATTTTAGCTGGATGCATCTATCCTGCATCCAGTGATAGTCTTCTATTCCAAACCGCATGTAAACATACCATGTACGATTTCATGTGGACAGCCACTGACCGATGTGGCCACTGTCACCTTGTCATTAACGTCAATGGGCTGCAACAGTGGCCGCATCTGAATGGGACACCTTGGATTCCGCCTTCAGAAATCTGTAGGTTCTTGCAGCAGGAATTCCAGAACGCCTAGTGTGAACAGGGCCTAACCAAATGAAAATACCCTTGACTGACCAAATAAAGACTATCCTCCTCCGCCATGATATGATATCTAAGCTACAGACACGGTGAAACACAAAACAGGATGAACAAACAGACAGCGCCTTCTCCTCGTATAATACTGTTTATTAAATAAAGGATTGAGAATTGACATAAAACACTACTCACATAATTAAATCCGGATGGAGGAATGTAGCAATGTTTTATTAATTGTACTACATAAGCACTACAGACTGCTACTACATACTGCTTAATTTCTATTGATTAGGTGAGGGTGATCAGCTGCATCTGATTGATTGGTTTTGGTTATGGTCACATGGTGCTCACCCACTCTGGTGGGATCTGCTTTGTATCATTTCTCCATCCGCATTTGATTATGTGAGTAGTGTTTTATGTCAATTCTCACTTCTTTATTTAATAAACGGTATTATACGAGGAGAAGGCGCTGTCTGTTTGCCCCGCAAGGCACAGTGCCTTGTGGGGCACTCAGCATGCAAACAGCCCACCGAACGTCCTGACAGTTCGCCGAACACACGAACTCCCGATGTTCGAGTCGAACTCATGTTTGGCTTGAACATCAAGCCCATCACTAATGATAATGGCAGCCTTCCTACGTTTGATGTTGGAGAACATTTCATTGGGAGCCTGCTGAGCGCTGTGGTGTGCAGTTTTCTGGAATTGCTGGACAAAACAGGATGAGCAGTGCCTGGTAAAGGGCTTTGTGCTTGACTTTGTCAAAACATCTGTGGCCTTATAAACCATTTTGAAGGAAAAACTACATGGTGGAGGTGTGGTTGTTTGTTTTTGGACTTCTAAGTCTCTTCAGTTCTTCAGTGTAATTCTGATGGTATTGTTTTACAAATAAATACTTGATGCAATGTGCACCATGACACAGGATTCACAAACAATTATAAAAAAAAAAATAACACAGCAGAAGGTGTTTGCCTTCAGACTCTCTATCGCTGATTGAACTTCACTGACATCTGAACAAAGCAGGCAGGCAGTGAGTGAGGAGGAGGAGTCATTGCTCTGACTGTTTACAAGCATATGTAAATTTCCCCTTGAACTATTGAACACGGTAAACAACAGGCTTTTCTCACTATTACAGAAAAGAATAGCCTGAAAATAATGCGAAACAGAACCTAGAGCTACATCTGATGGCTTCAAATGAAAGTTAATTTAAAAAATACAGTTGTTTTTTTCCAATGCTTACAATAATAAATAAATAAAATGTATGCAAAATCACCATATATTCCTTCTAAGCCCTCTGGAAAGTGTGTGACTGTGTTATTGAAGTGTTCTTTGTTAGATCTGAACTTGTTTTTAAGTATGTTTTAATGAACCCTTTCCTGTAAATAAATAAGGATAATCCCCAAAGCTGACCTATTTTATTGACAACTAGGTGAGGTGATAATCAATAAGGTAGTGTGCACTGAGGCTGGAGATCAGAGCTCTGCCTTCTGTGGATTTTGTGCTGGGAAAGCTGCCAAGTGATCTGGAGTCAGTGCTTATAAACTCCTTTAAAGTGGGGCACTAAAAAAGAATTGTAAAACCGGTATATAATGAAAGTAAATGTGTCATAAGAGACACACGGTGGCTGCGATAGATAGATAGATAGATAGATAGATAGATAGATAGATAGATAGATAGATAGATAGATAGATAGATAGATTGTTCGAAGAACATTCGAAATTTGGTAGAAGATTTTTCTAAATTATTATCTAAATTAACGAAATTCTAACCGTAAAGTGATTTCCATTAGGGCAAAATCATACATATTGTAATTCAAGTAGCAGGTCTGGCCGAAATGTAAAGGCTTTCCGGAGAAATTAGTTGAATCAATAATGCCAAGATCAAGTACCAACAAATTATTTTTCAGAATTTCGAACCAACATTGAAAAGAAACTGTTCTGTTATATGGCCTTTCATTGATTCCTGTCCCCCAGGGCAGTACCCAAATCCCCATACACTTTTTATGGCCAATAACTTGCACATAAGCCTTAAAAAAGGGGACATTTGATTTTACGAGTTCTGGTACCATAGACTTGCATTGAGTTCTAAGTTCTTGTAAGAACTTTTTCCCTTTTCTAAAGCTCTTGTTAGAACCGAACTTAGGTGTGTTCAACCCATCACTAATTTCACGAAAAAATAAGGTCATCTGCCTACCTGATTATACTGAATGACCAGGATTTTCCCATCAATGGATTTTTTCTTCCCTGATGGTACGGGCATATTCCAAGATGACAATCCCAGGATTCATCAGGTTCAAATTGTGAAGGAGTGGTTCAGGGAGCATGAGACATAATTTTCACACCTGGATTGGCCACCACAGAGTCCAGACCTTAACCCCATTGAGAATTTTTGGGATGTGCTGGAGAAGACTTTACGCTGTGGTCCGACTCTCCCATGAGAACAACAAGATCTTGGTGAAATAGTAATGCTTGGTGAAAAAAATGTTGTTACATTGCATAAGCTTATTGAAACAATGCCATGGCTAATGCCCGCACTTACCACCCAGAGCCCGCACTTACCACCCAGAACCCACACTTACCACCCAGAGCCCGCACTGGCCACCCAGAGCCCGCATTGACCACCCGGAACCCGCACTGACCCCAGCACTGACCACCTAAAGCCCACACTGACCACCGTACTGACCACCCAGAGCCTGTATTGACCACCCAGAGCCTGCACTGGCCAACTGAGAGCCGCACTGACCACCAGAGAGCCCACACTGGCCACCTTAGAGCCTGAACAGCCTCCTGAGAGCCTGCACAGCCCTCCTGAGACCCTGAAGACATCAGGCCGTGAAACCAGAGCAACACAGTATATGTAGCTTCATAGTATTCTGCATTGCTGTATAAAGTATTGCTGGGATTTGTAGTCCCCTATAGCCTGTGTCATTCTGCATTGCTTTCTAATGTATTGCTGGGATTTATAGTCCTCTATAGTTGGTGGTATTGTGAATTGCTGTGTAATCCATTACTTGGATATGCAGTCCTCTATAGTTGGCGGTATTCTGTATTGCTGTGTAATTGATTGCTGTGATTTGTAGTCCTCTTTAGTTGGCGATATTCTGCATTGCTGTATAACGTATTGCTGGTATTTGCAGTCCTCTATAGTTGGCAGTATTTTACATTGCTGTATAATGTATTCCTGAGATTTGTAGTCCTCTACAACTTGGAATCAGTGGCAGATCTACCAGGTTCACGTCTGCAACCGGGCCCTGGCACTCCACCTGTGACTCCAAGCTGTACAAATACTACAAATCACAGCCCGAACAGGAGCAAGAGGGCCCTGTTGACCGTTGCCATTTCCATAAAAAGGCCCAGCGAAATCCTCAGCACCAGGCCCGTGATGCTCTTAATCTGGCCCTGCCTGTATATAGGTGGACAGTACAATGTATGATCAGCTTAGTATATGGAATAGAGACGGACACTATGATCCCAGCTTTCATTTCACTCCTTATACAAGTCTCTCCTGTGTTTTATATGTATATACAGTATAGGTGGACAGTATGTGTGATGAGCACAGTATATGGAATAGAGGCGGACACTCCGATCCCATCGGTCATCTCACTCCTTATACAAGTCTCTCCTGTGTTTTATATGTATATACAGTATAGGTGGACAGTACAATGTGTGATCAGCACAGTATATGGAATAGAGGCGGACACTCTGATGGATCCCAGCGGTCATCTCACTCCTTATACAAGTCTCTCCTGTGTTTCATATGTGTATATAGGTGGACAGTACAATGTGTGATCAGCACAGTATATGGAATAGAGACGGACACTCCGATGGATCCCAGCAGTCATCTCACTCCTTATACCCAGATAGCAAGGATAACTTGCCACAAACTTGGCAGGGTTAAATTGTAATTCTTGTGAACTTGCTGCACATATTCCTGGCAAGTTGTAGACTTGCAGAACACTTGCAGCACAAGTTCTAGTTGACACTTTTTGAATTTGTAGCAAATTTGTTTGGCAAGTCTACAGGAAGAGTCCTGCAGGTCTTAGCAAGAGCTCTGCAAGTGTACAGCACTTTTGCAAAGCACGTTGATCTGCAGACTTACTGTAATTGTGCAACAAGATTGTGAAGCTTGGCAAGTCTAGCAATAGTTTAGCAAGTCATTTTCAAACTTGCAGCTCAATTACTTGCTATCTGGGATACAAGTCTCTCCTGTGTTTCATATGTGTATATAGGTGTACAGTACAATGTGTGTTGAGCACAGTATATGGAATTGAGGCAGACACTCAGACCTGATCGGTCATCTCACTCTTTATAGAAGTCTCTCCTGTGTTTTATATGTGTATATACAGTAGATAGACAGTACAGTGTGTGATCAGCACAGTATATGTATATATAGGTGGACAGTACAGTGTGTGATGAGCACAGTATACGGAATAGAGGCGGACACTCTGATGGATCCCAGCGGTCAGCCCACTCCTTATACAAGTCTCTCCTGTGTTTTAAAATCAAACTGCAAGTCTTCCGCGTGTGGACCAATGAGCGGCGAGCTGAGGTGAGTTTCGGCCAATGAGCGGCGGGCTGGAGTTGGAGCGGTTGACGTCACGGCCGGGTCTTCTCCTTACAGTGTTTGCTGAGTGTGTGAACGTTCCATCGGTGTACGGTGTGGATGGAGGCGGCGAGCAGCACCCAGGGTTTACCCCGAGCCTTCCTGCACAGTCTGCGAACCCTCTTCGATATCCTGGACGATGAGCGCCGGGGCTACGTGCACATCCATGAGATTGAAACCCGCTGGAGGGGGGCGGACACACGGGAGTTGCCCCCGGGGGTGCTGCACTGCCTAAGGAAGGTGGCCCCTCCTGATGGCTTTCTCACCTTCGATCGCTTTGTGTTGGGGCTCCGGACTTCAATGTTCAACTCCCAGAACAGAGAGAACTGCCACATGGGGGCCCCCCGAGCTCCAGTCAAAGTCCCTGGAAAAGTGGGGTACCCCTGCAAACCGCAGCCTTTGGGGGTCCGCTTCATCAATGGCACCAACCCTGGGCGCAGCAATGGGAGTGATGGTCCAGCCTGCAGAGGAGATGTGGACAGACCCAGACTAGGTAATTTGGGGGTGCAGCCCGGGTTCCCTACTTAAATCATTTTCGGGTATCATCATACTGCTGGAATGGATTAGTATAGATTATAACTTCTTACTTTTCTGCGTGACCAAAGTAGATAACGTGGAAACCCAAAATGTGGGGGATCCATTAAGTTAACAGTTCCAACAATTGGGTATTGGTACAAAAAGTTCACAACTGGGAAACTTGGGGTGTAGCTTGGATTCCCCACTTATGTCATTTTCATGTAGTGTGTGTGTGGGGGTGATAAGTATAATGGGGTGGGTGTTAAAATACAACAATCTGCTGGAATGGATTATTTTGTATGTTAACGTCTTGCTGGAAGAGTAGATATCTAATTGAAATGCTGACCTTTGGTGGTGCTTCATCAATGCCAACCAGCCACCAAAAAGCTTGTCACTGCTCTTACAGTACTATACAGTCTGGCCCCAGAGGGAACAATGAGACCCCAAATGAGCTAAAGAAGGCATTCCAATGGTTGCATTTGGGGTAGAAGGTAATTACACTGATGGAAGTGATGACTTGAAAGTGGGTGCAAAAGTTTTGGGTGACAAAGTAATTAACATGTGGAAACCCAACCTTTGGGGTTCTGCTAGATTACCAGTACCAGTGATCAAATGCAGGACTGAACAGTTGGCAACAGAGAGAGAGACTAGGTAACTTGCGGGGGGGGGGGCTTATGCAGCCTGGGTTTCCCACTTATGTATTTTTCAAGTAGTGGAGAGTGATGGGTATAATGCGATGGGTGCGAAAAGACATAAATCTGCTGGAATGGTTTTGTCAGCCCAGTAGTGTTTTACTAGGTGCTACTTGGAGTGGAAGAGTAGATATCAAATGGACATCCTGACCTTGGAGGGTGCACTTCATCAATGCCAAAGGGGGTGCACCCATCAACAAGATCCTGAGATGGTACTGCCTGCAGTCTGGATCTTGAGGCAGCACTGGAGAGACCCAGATTAGGAATGGAAGCATTCTACTGGTGGCATTTGTGGGTATTGAAGGCTGATTAACATTTTGGGGCAGAAGGTAGAAAAGTGGTCGAACTCCTGCAAAATGTTTAGGTCACAAAGTAGAGAAACAACAACCTTTGGGTGTCTGCTGCATGAAAAGTGCCAACAATTGGCATTTGGGATAAAAAAAACCCAACTAGGGAGATCTGGAGTAAGCAGTGGGGAAACCCAGACTCAGTCGTTTGGGGGTTCACCTGGGATATCGGCTCTTTGTCTCCTTGGGTATTCTAGTTGTGAAGGTAATAAAGGACTTGTTTTTGATCATGGAAGTTTTCGGTTCTGCTAGTATCCTCATCTGTGCTTATCCCTTTGACTTTCTGCCCCAGTGAACACTTCAAAACTGGTTTTGGCTAGAGATCCACCTCATGAGGCTGGCAGGAGTGTTTGCAGGATGCTATTGAGTTATTCTCTCATATCTGGTGTTTATTGAGCAGATCTAAGTACCTATGACCACCCTAGTTCAACTTAACTTATAACCTAGATCTGTTTCTCATGCCAAGATCCTTTTCTAGGCATTCAGACCTTCCTCTGGCACGTGTCTTAATTCTTCACCTCTCTCACTCTTCTTATTTGGCAGCAACTTTTTCCATCCCACAAGCTGTCACTTTTTTTTTTAGAACAATGCTGAGGTGACCTTGTTCTGGAGAGACGGATGATTGCTAGTAAATATTCTTGCCCACCTATGTTGGCACTGTGTAAAACTATTCTTACTTGGTCATGTTTTTTGTCTAGTGTGGCAGTGTTTTAATTGTCACTTGCAGGAACTGTCTTCTTTAATAGCAACAAACAGTCTTGTGGAATGTACATAGAATTGATTTAGCAGCACTACACAAGTGTGTTACTGCAAAAGGTTTTATTTTTTTTTATATAGGGTGGGCAATGTTTAGAACCCTGTCAGGTTTTTATGGTGCGAGTCATCCTCTATTTGTCCTTGTGACAGTAAATCCCAAATGTTATAGTTGTCACTGGGGGTTTTTTTTCGTGCTCTTCTAGTGCAGCCTAAGAGTCAAAAGCTGGTCATACATGGCTCACAATTTGGCTGATTCACCACAATTCGAGCTGTAGGTTGCCCTATTGGTCCCACTGAGCAGAAAATTGTTGGCTGAACAGTGACAATGACCAGCATGGGAAAGTCCTCCATCCATGCTGTTTGATGTCGCTAGGGAATCAAAGACCCGACCCCAGGAGGGAAAGGTGCTCCATGTAATTGCATGCAGCAGCCTGTACCTCCCTAATGGAGGATGCGGTTACACGCAGTTCTGAACTTGCGCATCCATGCGGGTTTGGGTGCCCGCACTTGGAGGCACACTGTCTGCGTCCAAGTGCGGACACCTGGGACCCACACGGATGTGCAGGTCTGGGTCTGCATGTAATATTGTGCAGCTGTATTCTTCCATAGGGAGGTACAGGCTGTTGCACACAATTACACGCCGCACTTGTCCTTCCCGGGATTGGGTCTTTGCACAGGCGTCCATGCAGTATGGATGTGCACTCCCATGTGAATGAGCCCTTAGCCTGCCGGCTGAATGAGAAAACTAAACGTGTTCCGCCAGCTTTATACAGTCACTTTGACAATCTGCAGCCTATAGTCAATGCTATTACGCATAATGTCTGCAGTATTTAAATTCCCATGCTATATTTGATAATTGTTACAATAAAAATGGAGATTGTTTTTCTTCCAATGAAGTAGAGATTTTATTCCATGAATCAGCTTGATGTACCACATGGATGTTATTGATTTTTGTTGTATTTTGAATACAAAACGCCATGTGTAATACTCTGAGATATTGCAGAAACCTTGCAGTACCTTGGGGTGATCAAACCATTCTGTAGAACAGTCCATTGTCCTCTGTCGATCCAAAGTTCCATTAGGGCCTTGCACAGGAAGAATGCTCCTCATCCCCATGCCCACCCCCAACACTTGGGAACATCAGGACTCTGCCGCTCTGGCCCTCCTTACCATCTTTTCTTGAATTGTATTGTGATTGTAATGTCTTCCTTATATTGTAAAGCGCTGCGCAAACTGTTGGTGCTATATACATCCCGTATAATAATAATAATGTGCAGACACTGCTGGAAGTGGTGTTCCATCCAAAACCTTTTGTAGTTTTGAATGGAACTGGGAAGAAATCGAACCTCTTTATTACTGTCTGTGTCTCCTTCAGGGAGATTTCCCCTCGCCCCAAAGACGTAACAAGAAAGTAGAGAAAACCTCAGCAAAAAAGAAGGGTGATCCCATCTTTGGACAGGTTTCCTCTCTTCTCTTGTATCGATGGCAGCTCTGATGTTCTTGTGTCTCCTCCTTTGCTGTCCCAGTGATGGTCACCAGGCAGGAGGTGAGAGTGAATATTCCTCAAGGGGACACGGTTTGAGATTTTTATTGCAGTCCAATGTTTCCCCACCCTAGGAAAGGTTTTGTCGAGTGTTCCCCTTAAAAATCCTGCTTGCTCTTGTCTGTGGTCACACTGCATACATCTCTGCATGTGTTGTAGCTTTTGATGGGTAAACTGAATGGCCATTCAGCCTTGACGTCTGGCATGCAAGACAGATGGTTGGTCAATAAAGAGCAGCTTATTTCTGCCACCCAGAATTGTTGTGGTACAGACCAGTAACTATGGGCCTCATTTATCAGAGTGTCTGGAATAAAAGGGACTGTAATGCCCCTTATGGACCGGTCTGATTCGAATGGTCCGTGTTCTCAGTGCAGAACTAATACAAGAGTGAAATTAATCTCTCTCTCTCTCTCTCTCTCTCTCCAACAGTTGGTGTGACTGCTATGAGATAATTCAGTAGCTTGTGGATCTACGAGACCCTTTTGTATGCTCACAACTGGTTCTCCTCTTCTCTAGTCCCCTGCTGTTTCATTCCTCTGTCGTAGTCATTGGTCTGAACCCCATAAAAGCTCCAGGTCGGTCCTTCTCCCCTCCACTGGATGACGCTGTTTGGGTCCAGAGATTGGTCGCTCAAGACCGAGCATTGGAACCTGGAAGGAAGGGAGAAGGTCATACTTCCCATACCCACACCGGGTATTTCCAAAGGTTCTGACAGACAAGTGGAGCGGTGGGGGGAGTGCAACTACGGTATTGGTGGATGGGCGGTGGATTTTCAGGAGAACCCAAAGGTTCTTTAACTCATAATTAGTGTTTAGAAGCCTTTATGATTATAAGAATCACATTTTGGTGTTTGCAGCATGATGAATCATGTACAGTACCTTTCATAGCAATTCTGACTGTTTCTATGCTGGTTTGGAGTACAGCTGGTCGCTAAATAGACGGAACACATGGCTCCCTATGGAGTAAGATACCCAAGTAGCTATTAGTAGCAATCAATCCAAATTGTACAATGCTTCAATCATGTGTCATTGATTGCTACAACGTGGTTCTTGTATCGCTTAAGCTGGCCATACACCTATAGGTTATCTGCAGATTTTCTATGGTGAGATGGAAAATATGCAACAGATTCCTCCATCTACGCTAAACTGTGTGAATGGAGGAATCTCCCGCTGGGCCAAGCTTCAGTATATTGCTAGTCGGCCCCGCTGGCTCTCAAAATACATGAACAATGACTGCATCCAATCAGACTATTCAGGTATTGTGAGAGCCAGCGGGGCCGGCTAACAAGATACTGAAGTTTGGCCCAGTGGGAGATTCCTCCATTCACACAGTTTAGCGTAGATAGAGGAATCTGTTGCACTTTTTCCATCTGACCACGAAAATTGAAGCTACAAATCCTGTCATGCCTGGTATTCAGCTTCCTGCAGTGTTGCATAGGATATGTAGTTTGACCAAAGCTGGACTTGTAAGGTTGTCTACCCCTGGCTTCCATCTGTTCAGCAGTCGGCTACTCGCAGAGATCAGAAACTCTGTTGCCTTTCCTATTTAGGGCAACACGACAGGTACTCTTTAAATCCCACCACCAAACTCCATTTAACTCCACTTGACATTGCTCCATCGCCTCTTCTTTCTCGGTCAA